ACAGAAAAACACACAGCTTATAGCTCATCCTTTAAAACCAGAAGATAAGTGAAAAGTCAGCACAGATTCTTATTTTCACTATAAAAAGTAAAATAAAAAAGTACACAGGGGAACTGAACTGTTTTTTCCTTCTTTCCAGGGATGTGTGACACATAAGTTCTCTGTCAGTACTAAACTAAACAATGTAGTAAACCAAAGCTGACACACGAACAGTAAAGCTGTCCACTGCCTCCTCCTCATGCTGAGCTAGACCAGTGAACACCATCTTGGCAGGAGATTGTGAAGGGAATAAGAAATCGCAGAGTCTTTACCTACCCTAATAAAAAAACCAAACAACTGGCTTACACAGAAAGGGTTTTAAGCCAACATGCACAACACACCTGACATGCCATGACGCAGGGTTGCTTCAGCCTGTTCCAGCACACAGCAGTCATTCTCTGGTGCTGCTGAAACAGGTGCACCAACATGAAAAGCATTTTTATCTTTACAGCACTAATGACTAAAAAGCACATAGCATATAATACTTTGATCTTTAGGTGGATTATCATGGAAGTTCCAAGATCATATCCACTAAGTTTGCCTGAGTATTCATCTATAAAAATATTTTTCAAAAATAATGCTTGAAAGAGACTTCTAGAAACAGTGGGACTATATCAGGACCAACAGAAGACAGTGTTACAAGGACCATGTATGTTAAGACTGGGAGTTGACTTTCACACGTAGCTTTTAGGTAAAGGACATCTCTCTTGGTTGACCCCACAGCCAGCACAAGCTGTGATCAGAGGAGACACAGAAATCGCAGGACAGGCAGCTGGCTCCAGTAGCTCCCTAGATAAATACTCCCAAACAGAAACCCCATTGAGGGTGAAGGACTGAAACTATGTCCCATGTAAAAAAGAGCAGTGAGTGCACAAAGGACTCATGCAAAGCCTGCTGGGAAGAGGAGGGTTCATGGTTGTGGTTATGCACACCAACATGTACCAGGGAAGGGCTCCCAGGTGGAATGGCTGACCTGGGCATGATCAGAGGGGCCTGACCCAAGCACCTGAGAGGTGACTAGGTGGGGAGGGGAAGAACACTAATACAAAACGGCTTGTCAGGAGAAGTGGGTCCAAAAGTCCGGTCATGTTGTTTCTGACCTGTCAATACTTAACACAAACCAAGTGCTGCAGAACAGAGTCTTTCTGAGATGGACTCTTCTGTCGTCATTAGCTGTAGTCTCTCTTAGTCTGTCAGACTGGTGACATCCAGAATGTTCCTGTTCATTGCCTGGAGATGGGACCTAGTGCCTCAAATTGTTCTGGGAAGCTGGCATAGAGGATGATTTGCACAATGAAGTCACCACTAAGCCACTGCTTAAGTCCAGTCCCCGGCCTTCCTTTTCTGTAATGTAGTTGTGAAAGCCGCCATGTTAAATCCAGGAATCCGCTCCAGTAGCTGTTCTTCAATATATTTTTCCACCAGAGAAATATATTCGTTAAAAATGGGTGTGTAGATGAGTTTATTCTCTTCTGTATCTTCAAACTCCTGGTAGTACTTGTCCATGAAGTTTCTCTGTAATAACTGGAACTTGTCATCCATGATAATGTCCTCTAGATATCCAACCACAGCATCAAATTCTGCATCGGATGCAGAGGAGAAGGACAGCGCCAAGCTCTCTTCCTCTAGGGTGTCCATCGCCGCGGCACCGCATCCACCTGCGCGGGCGAGCGGGCCTGTCGGCCTCCTATCCCGCCCGCGGCCCGGGCCCAGCCTCCGTCCTGCTCCGCGGAGCCCACACCCGCATCGAGGGCACGGCGGCCCACCAGCCGGAAGGAGGCCTCGCCGCCCAGGCCGCAGGCAGCCCACGGCCCAGCCGGCTCAGCGTGAGGCCCGGCCTCGGGCTCCTGGCTGCGGCCTCGCGCCAGCCGGGCCTCCTCGCACAGCGAGGCCGCTCCGCCGCCGCCCTATTCACGTGATTTAAATGGTTTAATTTAAATTAGGTAAACAGCTGT